CTGTAACAGTGTTTGGGTGGATGGATTGTGTCAGGTGGCATCCACATGAATGCCAGGACCCAAGGTTTCTCAATAGAACATTACAGAGTAAGAAAATGGTCAATGTTATTCACTTCACCAGCCAGTGGTTTTGTTTTGGTTGATCCGTGACTTATCACACTATCATCCACCATGCTCTGTAACAGCAGGATTTCACCATGTTTCAACCCAAGCATTAGGCAGAACTTAATCAAATCAAGTAAATGAGTCATATTTATCAATTTATCTTTTCTCCACACACGTTTCCTCAGTCAAACATGACTTTCATGTTATAACAACATGTTATCACATTATAATGTGAAATATTTCACGTTTTAACAATGTAGGCGATAATGATTTAATGTGAAACAGTTTACAACAACAAGTTAAAATGAAATTGTTGTTTCTTAAATAGCGATGATGTGAAGGTAATGAAGGAGACTCTGATGACACCGTCTTGCTTGCATAAAGAAAAGTTTTATTACAAGAAGTACAGCATCTATCAAGCATCTAGAATGCTTGGAGAGGGTTCAAAGCCAATATGAACTGCTCTGAAAAACAGCCCCAAATACCCTGCTTATATAGACCTGGTGGTGTTTGAGAGCAAATGATAATACACTACACTATAACATGAAATGTTTCAGGTCATAACAACATAAAAAGTATTTTGTTATAACAAGAAAAGTTACCTTTTATAATGTGATAACCTTTATGTTGTAATAACAAAAATATCCTGTTGTAGTGTGACTGAAAAATTAGGCAAGATCAAGTGGTAACCTCTGCTTTTGAAAAATAATGCCAACACTGAAGTGTCAAAAGCTGTAGTTCCTCTAATGGCCACTTGAGTGACAGGTTGTCTGTGAGGCATTGCTACTGTCTGTTAGTGAGATCCATCCCTCGCTCCCGGTTCCACTCATTCATCCAAATATGGTCACTTCTGGCTCCAGAAAACCAAGATGGTGACAGCCAATGGTGAGTGCCGAATTCAGGATTGTGCTCGGTGACAGAAAGTATTGTATAATGAAAGTGTGGCTTATGGGGAACTGATCTAAACACCTTTTTATGTGGTGGCCTTTTGAAATGAGCAGTAGGGGAAGTTATTAATTTAAAAAATCAAGCAATTGATTAATAGAAAGCATGAACTAGCTAGCTAGCGTGCTGCTCGCTTTTCAGACCATCATATTAATGTTAACCTCAAGTCACCATTGCTTTAGTCTCTCTGTCTCTCTTTCTTTCTTATTCTGTCATACGGATTACTGTTAATTTATCATGTTGATCTGTTCTGTACGACATCTATTGCATGTCTGTCCATCCTGGAAGAGGGATCCCTCCTCAGTTGCTCTTCCTGAGGTTTCTACCATTTTTTCCCCCGTTAAAGGGGTTTTTTGGGGAGTTTTTCCTTATCTGCTGTGAGGGTCCAAAGGACAGAGGGATGTCGTATGCTGTAAATTTAGATGAAATGTCACTGATGGGATGGGATAAGAATAGATGCAAAAACGGTGTTTCGATGCAAATGATGCAAACATGCAACATTTGCGCTACTCGTGAATTCACGTGCCTTTAAATTTTTCAATTTGTGCAAGGAATTCACATGACACTGTGTTGCAAAAAGCCTATCAGAAACATGGTTGAGATTCTCTTGATGTTACCAAGAATTAAGGTGTGTTCACACCGGACTTTTTATTTTTTTCGCTGTCTCTCGGTTCACCCCTTTGATATCGCTTCATCGCTCAGTTGCAATCGCTCATCAATGTGGCAGAAATCAACGGACTTGCTTTTTCGCTTTGATGATGTCACTGAAGCAATCAGGGTATTTCGGGGGGGTGCTTGACTAACATGACATGTCAGCTTCATTAAAAGTATAGCTGCAAATTAAAAGCAAAACAAAACACACAGAGACAATACATCTGAGCATTTATACCTCCAACTGCGGCAGCGGCTGAAAATTCTACATTTTGATACATACAGGTATACATATTGCAAAACTCTGTAAAAGTACACCAAAGCATACATTTTCATTTCCAAATATTTATTTGAAAATGAAACCATTAATACGGTCAATAAAAAAACATTTTGTTAATAATAAAAAACGAATGTAATCTCAACAGTGACCGCGCCAGCTGTGTGTGTGCGTGCGTGTGTGTGTGTGTGTGTGTGTGTGTGGGTGTGTTAGTATGTCAGAGAGGAGGAGTATTAATAAAAAAAGTTTCCACTAATTATTTTGGTGTTTATTTCTTTTATTCTTAAGAGTTTTTTTCATTAAAATGCGTAATATAGCCAACAATATTATAGACCAAAAGTTAATTTAATTTATTTTTGTAGAATGTATTTAGCAAATCGCCACTTTCAACTGGAGACACAGCACAGCAGCAGCACAGCAGCAAAAAAAAAAAAAAAAAAAGGCATTATAAAAAGCCGACAAATAGTGTTAATTAATTGACATGCGACACTGGAGAGGTTGTCAGTCCTATTCTATAGTCTGTAATACTTTTTTTTAATTTTATCATAACTTCTCGGAAATTACTCAAAAATACATTCATTGCGTGCTTCTGAGCACACGGGCAGCATAAACAATGAAGTTACATATGATGGTTTGGCAGATCGTTGCAGCGCTTGGAGGCAGTTGACAGTGACAGTTTTTTCAGCAGCCGTTTTTCTTCCTACCAATAACCTATGGTTGAGGCAGCTCCAGCTCCGCTCACATGCTCTGACTCAGGCATCAGAGCCTCTGAGCTACAGCGATAGATGCATTGGCGCTGTCCGTGGTGCTTTACACTAGGACTGCCAGAATTACAGCGCCCCTCCAAGCGCCGCAGTCCCACCGGCTGGCGCGGTCACCGTTTTTTATTATTAACAAAATGGTTTGTTATTGACAGTATGAATGGTTTTGTTTTCAAATAAATATTTGTAAACGAAAATGTATGCTTTGGTGTACTTTTACATAGTTTTGCAATATGTGTATAGGAGGTATTGCAGGAGGTATAAATGCTCAGAAGTCTAGTGTGTTTCATTTTTGTAACTTAAAGGCTTCAGAAAACATACAAGACACATTTTTAGTAAAAGTCATAGGAAGAGAAGCTTGTAGGTTTTATCTAAACAGAGTTATTTGCATGTTGTGGCGGCTCTAGGACAAGTGCACTTACATTGATCACTTCCATAAAATAAAACGAGAAATTGGAGAAGATTGAAAAAATTGTTAAAATTAAATTAGGGAACTGATCACAGATGTATTGTGTCTTTGTGTTTTTACATCTATTGTTGCTTTTAATTTGCAGCTATACTTTTAATGAAGCTGACATGTCATGACAGTCAAGCACCCCCCCAGGATTCCGGGATTACAGCAGCCAATCAGCGTTGAGCTGCAAGTGACAGGACCCAGCGAAATACTGCTCCAGATGAGAATTCTCATCTCAAGCGACAAGCGAAAAATCGCTCTGTCGCTCGGAGCCCGAGCAATTTTTCTCCCGGGCAAATATATGCTCAATTGCCTGTTTGCATTGACTGTATGTAAACTCGTTGCTAGCGGAAAAAAAACAGGTCCGGTGTGAACACACCTTTAGAAATGGAAGACAAACTTAATTGTCGCCGCCTGTGAGCACCCAGAGCTCCACAGCTCAACTTCAGTAGCCTTTTTGTACAGAGAAAAAACAAAAAATAAGAGGGCTCGTAGAAAGTGAGTGAAGCCATAGGATTACATGGTAAGTTCTGAAAATATGTGACTTGTGTAAGCTATTCTGTTAAGTTACTCCTTAGCAAAATGCTCTGACTAATATAAATTGGCCTTTTATTTTTGAAGGTAAACAATGGAGGGAAGCAACAATGTGCTGCAGCTGACAATACAAAACATAAGAGAGTTTGGTTCGCAAGTGGTTCAGTGCACTGAGCCTCCATGTTCATCGTGTTCAAATCACTTTGCATTTTACCAGCCTTTAAAGGAAGCCCCTTTCTTCATGATACTACCACCTGTTTTTTTAATGTGGAATGTTCCAAACAGGTGTTTTTTCAAAATTCCACAACTCCCCCAGTATTTGTTGCTCCTGTCCCAACTTTTTTGGTGTGGGTTTTAGGCATCAAACTCATGTAGGCCTACGCATGTATATTAATTTAAAAAAAAAAAAAAAAAGTTCATTAATATGAACATTTAATATTTTCTCTTTGTAATAAATTAAATATAGGTCAAAAACAAGACAACTTTTTTGGAATCACGATTTTATCATTTCACCAGATCACACCAGGTTTATTCTAAATAGACATTCTTTTTCCAACCTCAGGCATCTGTTTAATATTATCTAAAACCCCTCCACCCTCATCACCCATGAAGCTTTGATATTATTAGATGCAGGAAAAGCTTTTGACAAAGTAAAGTGGGACTCCACTCAACAGAAATTTCACTTTTTAGAAGACTCTTATTCTATCCATTGCTTCGCTTTTCAGCTTGCTATATTTGCTTTTTTTTTGTTTGTTTGTTTTTTGATGTGATTTTCATAGCTTTCTGTTAGATGCATGCTGCTTACGGTCTGGCACCTTGTGGCCAGGAATGTTTCAAACTCAGCAAAACAAGATGAAAATCATTACAGATAAATACACTGCCACACTGTTCTAGTGAGTTGTAAATGATAATCGAGACAGATTACTTTTAGCTGAGTCAATACATTGTTTTTAAGAAAATTCTGTGTAGTATAACTTTAAATGAAAGGGAAATACTTCCCATCCATATAGTTGCAATAAACTATTCGTCCTATCCTATCCACTAAGGTTACCCAGCACAGCTTTACATATTTCAGAGTTCAGGTCTTTTAAAAGCATGCAGATCTTATAAGTCTAATTTTGCTTCTCTTTTGTCCTCTACCCCAAAAGGCTGTGAATGGTTGTCTGTGTTGAATTTATCTCTAGTTCCATGAGTCAATTTGGTGAAAATTAATACCTCCATCCTATAGTTTTCAATGCATTCACGTAGAAGATCTAAAGGCAGGAAACCTTACCTCATCTTTTGCATGGAATGCAAAGTTGTTTCCATTGGTCATTCTGTTGCAGAAAAAAATCCACAGGAATTGTCAGTTTCTACTGCACTGCTTTGCTTTTTATATGTCTGATAAGTAATAATAATAATGCACTTGTCTAATAAAATCAAAATCTCTGCCATTAAAATTTGCCACAATAGAAAAGCTCTTACTGAAGAATGAAGACGTTTTTCTTCTTTTTGTATCCCATTGAGGGATCAAATGAGCAGTTACTGAGATCTACAGGAGGCTCTTCATTGTATGTTGTGGTGTGGTTCCTGGCATCCTTGTAGAAGGTCAACTGTCCCTCTTTCAGCACACAGTATACGTTCACCCAGGACTTACTGTAAAATTCAAATGACACATTAAGCAGATCTTAACAAATTAAGATTGAATACATGTCTGGACACTTGTGGGCTTGTTGGATATAATCTTATGTACATCATTCATTTTCTATCAAAAAAAGTATTATATTAAAGATGCAAGATGTTATGCTGTCATGCTAGAAGCTACAGGAATAAAGTCAGCATCCCAACCAGCTGATGACTCATGTAGAGGACATGGGAATAAACAAACAGCTTTGCTTTTTTGTTGTAGTTGTAGAGGAAGTTAGTCCTAGTATTACAGGTATCAAAAATAACACACATCGCATCCATAATCATCAACCATCCCACACCCAACCTCACAGAGCTCAGCCACCGATCTGTCACATGTCTCAAATGAACAATAACCAATGACTCGGATCACCCTCTCAACCCACACTTCACACTGCTGCTGTCTGGGAACAGATACAGGACCCTGAGATGGAGACGAGCACGCTTCAACAAGAGCTTTGTCCCGTCTGCCATACAGGCAGCGTTTGCCTTGGTCAAGACAAGACAACAAGAGGCGATGTAGCAGTAGCAGGGGGCTTTTTTCGCTGCTACTTCTCCAACATCGGTTTGGTGTCTGTGGTCCTAAAGCTCAAATACTTTTGCGTAATTTCCAACAGTTATTTTTTTACTTTTTAATTTAAGAGAAAAAGATTTTAGTATGATGACCAGTCAATGTGTTTGCCTGAGAATGCTGGAGGGTAAACCTCCCAGAATCCAATAAAAATCAGGATAGAGTTACCTAAATTAGCCTTAACTCTCACATCATTCATGATCAACTTCCACACACAAGAGAAATACAACACAGTGGATGTCCTGGTCATTACTGGGGCTTTTCTGAATGTGACGTAACCTCACAGATTACTCTAGGTTGTTCATGATGCGCTCCTTAGAATTAAAGTCGATAACTACTGTAGGTTGTAAGCGACTTAGCTGTACATGTTAACGTTTGCATCTTAAATACAAGGTTTCATTCTTTCATCACACTTTTACTCCTGTGTTTTTGGGTTTGGAAAGGTTTAAAATGACACCTCCCTCCAAACTCCTTAAATGACGTATATTACTCTTGTTAGAGCCCCATGGACACTGCTGCGGCATAGAAATCCAAAGTTTGACAGGCGCTTTTGTGCCTGTTTACGGTTTCTAAGCTATGATTAATCAGTCACTGTTAGGATATAGGGTTTAGCATATGATGAATTGTAAACTATGTCTGTTGTATGATTTTTGTCAGTAAAGGTTGTACCTATTTGGGCTTCTCTGCTGAGCTTCAAGGTCAGACGTGGTGGCCTTTTTGCGGTACAGGAAGCCTTCATTGTGGGCAGTGTGTGAAGGCGGCTGAGGTGTTGTTGGGGCACCAGTGGCTGGTGCTGAGCGAGAGCGTCGTGTTTCCTCAGGCTCTTTTGGGCGGGGCCTCCTCCTTGGTTTAGGGCGGTCTCTGGCACGAGGACGTCCGTCAAAACGAGTCACGGGTGCTGAAAGGCTGCTTGGAGGTCGATAAGGCTCTCCTCGTGCCTGAGAAAGTAGAAAAAAGAGAATGTGACCCCAAGACACGAAGAAAAATGAACATACACAACACTTTTGTTATAACCTGTATGTAAGCTAACTCACATGTGCTGCCTCTCTCTCCTGGACCTGTTCTACAATCTCTGCCATGGTCTGTTGTCTCTTGTCCCTGCAGTGACAACAGACATGAGTCACCCAAACAGTAAACACAATCATCACGCGACTTTTGAAATCATTAGGATCAAGCTGGACAGGGCTGACTGGGCAATCTGTAAAGCCAGATTTTGTAAAGATAATTTGAATTTTCATTCACATACCCTGAGCGTTTGTCAGAGCCCTCCTTGACAGAGCCCTCCAAGTCACTTGAGTCCTGTCTCTGCAGCCTCTGCTTGCTGCTCCCTTCCTGTTCACTGGACGACTGCCTCTCCAGGCGCCTCCGGTAGCGCTCCTGACGCACAATCAATGGCAGCTCATTCAGTCTGGCCTGGATCTCCTGTTCACTGGAGGTCTGTCTACCCAGCTTGTACTCCCTCTCTCGCCTCAGATGGTCCATCTGAGGATCAGAGCGGCTGCCACGGGGATCCCTCTGGAGACGGCCGTGGAGAAGCTCCAGTCCTGACTCTGGCCCCACCATGTCTGCCATTGGAATGTCCCCAAACTGTTCCCGCTGCACTCTGCTAGCCTCTAGGAGAGGGTTTACAGCTTTGTGGATGTGGTTGATCCTGGGCTGCATGAAGTCAGCTTTCAGGTGCTGCCATGCATATGCCATTTTAGGGTCCATAATGCCACCACTCTGCGCCAGGTAACCAGAACTGCCCAGACTTCCACTGCTGTAATGATTTTGTGCCAGAAAGCCTGAGCTACCCAACCCCCCACTGCTCTGATAATTCTGTGCTAGGTATCCAGAACTCACCATACTAGGCTGCTGTGCCAAATACCCAGAGCTCCCCATATTAGGCTGTTGTGCCAAATATCCTGTACTACCTAAATTAGGCTGATGACCCAAGTATCCAGAACTTCCCATATTTTGTGGTTGGGCCAAATACCCAGAACTGCCAAAGTTCTGTTGAGGGAGAAAGCCAGGGCTTCCCATACCTCCACTACTTGGCTGCTGAGCTAGGTTACCTGAACTTCCTAGCCTGCTACTACCTAGATGGTTTTGTGTAACACCCACACACCCAGTAGTCAGTCCAAAGTACCCAGAGCTCTCTGCACTGCCAGCAGTTTGATGGTTTATCCCAAGGTAAGTAGAAGTGTCTGCTCCACCACTCTGGGAGGTCAGCGCTGAGAAACCAGAGTCACTTCCACCTCCGGCCACCTGGTGGTTCATCCCGAGGTATGGGGAGCTCACCAACTTCCCACTGGGTTGCTGTTCCAGTCCATGGTAGCCGGATCCATTTATAACTGGATTGTAGCTGGCGAGAGTTGAGGACAATCTCTGGGTTGTAGGGGAAGCACCCAGATCCAGACTGGTCTGTAAGGGTTTGGGTTCTATATGTGCCTGTACCGACTGCCTCAAGAAAGATGAGGTAGTACTGGTTGAGGGGACACTGGGAGTCAGACATGATAATGGGAACATCCTTCGGCTGGACAGTGGGGTTGTCTTTTTCTCCTCCTCTTTTTTCTTCTCAGCCTAAAGAGAGAGTTCACCATATAACTAACAGTACTACATCAACTAAATTTAAACCAGAAATCAAAGGCAGGATGGCCCAATAAAATAAAGATATTACAATTGATCTGGAATGATTTGCTCACTTTAAACAGTCTGGTTTACTAAAAAATGTAGCATTAAATGTGGAGGGGGTGCAGTGAGTAAAAGTACATCACATGCAGTAAATGTCATGAGACAATTTTAAGCCCATGACAATGCAAACTCATGGCATGCACCATGCCTGCTAAGCAAATACAACATCCCAAGGTCACATTTTTTCCTGTAGCAGCATTAAATTATGACTCCACCAAACTGATTAAACATTTATCTATTGTCAAGCTTACTGCGGAAAGCTGGCGGAGAGAGCTGAAGCGTTCTTTCCAGGTTACAGCAGCTTTGCGGAAGGCCTCATGACGAAGGATGAGTTGCTCAACCTCATCTGTTTGGGCTGGGGCCTGTCCTCCTTCTGGCTCCTTGGAGGTGATCAGCGGTTCCTTGGCCTTCAGCCAGGCTTCCGCCTTCACTGTCTCCTGGGCAAACCGGAACCTTTCCTGCTCTGGAGTTGACAGCAGACCAACAACACGATTACCGTCACACCACATTTTAATGCACACTCCAGTAAAAATCAGTTTTTATTTAGACACTAGATCATAGTGGAAGTGTATTTTATCAATTGAGTTAGTTTAGAGTGAGTATGTAATGTTAGCACAAGCAAGAAGAACCATAAGATTGATACATAATCCGTAATAAAAGGACAAAGTGGAAAAAAGCATTCGTAGTTTGAGCCTGTTTGACATTTAACATAATGTTGTGTTAGGAGGTGCTTCTGCACTAGTGAGTTACTCACTGCACTGTAACTTCTCCTGGTGTTTGTCCCATTTGTCAATAAGATCTTTCTGCTTTGCCAGAAGACTGTCCAGCTTCTCTTTTATCTGTGGGGACAAACAAATTGCAGTCGTGACTACAACAACATATTGCTACATCTTAATCAAGTAATTGTATGGGTTTTATGTACTCTTTGTGACAGTCATTTAAATGTGTTGTAGTCTGACCTCCTCTGATGCAGGGTTTCCTGCAGCTATTAAGATCTTGCCCAGATCTGCACACTGCTGTATGGTCTTGCTGCGGCCATCTACTTTGGCTTTCAGCTCCTGATGTTGTTTAATCATCCCCTCTAGAGCCGTGAGATCCCTGAGGAGGGATAGATCAGATTATTTAGATTAAATTAAACACCAAATACTATCAGGAATTCCTTATACCTGCAGAGTGTAAAATGTTAGCTGTATGCTCGTTTATGTAGTGTAATACAGTATTATTGCTAATACGATGAATAAGGATAAATAATAATGACTTTGGTTCTTCTAGCACCAGCAGCAGAACCAGCTTACACCATCCTCACATGAAGGCTATGTAACACTCCCATGCACACAACATCATAAACCTTTAGATTTTGCTGAGGACACCCACTGACCAGTTTTATGTTTACTTCACCATGACTGACAATGGCTGGGGTGGCAGTAGCTCAGTGCGTGGGGACTTGGCTAAGAAACCAGAGGGTTGCCAGTTCAAGTCTCTGTACGGACCAAGTATGGAGTGTGGATTGGCAGCTGGAGCAAGGCACCGACCCCCAAACTGCTTCAGGGCCGCTGTTAATGGCAGACCCCGTGCTACCCCCTTTTTGCATGTATGTAGGGTGGATTCACGAGAAGGCACATTTCAACTGCCTATTACCTAAAAAATTGTGTAGACTGACAAATAATCAAAGTTATCTAATTAAATTAATTTTCAAATACACATTTCTGCACAATGAGCATTATAGCCTCACAGAGCTGCTGGTGTGAATATACTCCTGTTTGGCCAGGAAGTGTGGGGAGGGAGAGTTTCTCTCTCTCTCTGACCTGTCAGTGCTTGGGCCCTAATAATAATAATGATGAAAGTAATAAGTATTATTGTTACTATTATTATTATTATTATAACAACAATAATAAGATTAATAATGATAAAAATTCCTTCGGTTTAAATTAGTTCCTAACACTGGTTGGTGCTTGGTCCTTAATAAACAACTACTAAACAACAATAATAATGATAATGATAATAATAATAATAATAATAATAATAATAATAATAATAATAATAATAATAATAATAGGGATGCAGCTCTTACAGTTTTTTACAGTTGTTTACGCACTAAAATGAAAATTTTCACACAATTAATAGCTCTTTACACTCAAGAAGCAAAACACCTGTCCATAGTTGCACAACAATAAGCACAGACTCAGCTTCACACTTTTTGCAAAACATTACACACAGTGATTTGCAAAACTCTACACGCATTATCACACCTTAGACACAGATAAGGATTGTGAGGTTACTTCCTTCTCATTACAAAGCCCCTGCTTGCCAACGACCACACTAATGAACGAATTGGATAATCACATCCACCTGGTGTGGAAGCACACAGGTGCTTACTGTAAACCAAGTGGACCACATGCAGTACATTGTCGTTTGGGACAATGTATCTTTCCATCGATCTGCTCTGGTCCACAATTGGTTCCATGAGCACCCTGAATTTGCAGTCTTATACCTTCCACCATACTCCCCATTCCTAAACCCAATAGAGGAATTTTTATTTGTCTACACTTTACAGTAGTAAGAAAAACTACTATTTTGTTCTGATTTTCATTGTTGATCTGTTACTGTAACTGAGTATGATAAGAAATAAATATTTTCAGTCTGCAGCAGTCTGCAGTCAGTGTTGTGTTTGTTTGTTGTATTTGTGTACTTTCTCTGTATACCTCAAAGTAATCATGAAGAATGTTGTGGGTTTGACAATATCTTTTTGTCATCTAAATTATCTCTTACATAAAAATGTCTGGCAAAAAAGTCTAGCACTAGACCAGCTATTTCCTAAAATAGGGGTTTTTACAAATGTATTTTGTATTGATCACTGTAGTGTGTAACTGACTATGTTTTGACTGAAGTGTATATGTTTTGACTGAAGTGTGTCATTTTGCAAACAATCTAGGAGTTATGCAAATTGAGTGTGGTGTTTGGATAATTGTGTGAATATTTTGAAAAAAGGAGCCCTGTTTTCAAAATTGCGTGTAAACAATTGAGAAAAACTGTATATTAAGACACAACCACAAACCCGAACCAACCCAATCCAACAAGTGCAAAAAGGACAACGAGATTAATCAACTGTCAATGATGAATAAAATACAAAAGTGAAGGTAAAAAGAACAGAGACCAGTAAGAGTAAAAGTTACTGAATGAATATATTAAAGTAATAAGACTAAAGCCAGAGTAAATAAAAAGGTCTTCAGCTGTTGTTTAAAATGTTAACTAGCCAGCATCTTTTATGGGTTTTGGAAGGGTTTATTCCATAATTTTGGAGTATAGTTTACAAAAGCTGTGCTGCATTCTTTTTTGTGCATGTAATTGTGCGTATTTACAGTTTTTCTCAATTGTTTACACACATTTTCTGAAAGCATGCCTCATACGCTCAGAACTCACAAATCAAAAAACACACACACAATGGGCAAAACCCCTCAATTCTCCTGCAAAATGAAACTTTACATTCAAAACAATGTTATTTCTTCTCAAAATGGTATTTTGTTTTCAAATGACACACACAAACCATCATATGAACAGACATTTATAAGAACCAGTTGAACACTGATGTGCTCAATGTAAAACACTATGATGAATTGAAAACACTTCTTCTCCATCATAATGACTTAGGCCTTTTTTTTGTTCATTGTTACACTTACTACAGACAGTACATACATAAGTGTGTTGTAAAATATTTTAGAATATTGTTTTTATACTTAGAACACACAAATACATGGTAACAAATATATTTTATTTTTCCCACAAAAACAATGTACACAGTGTACATTCCCACCAACACAAAGTTGCACATACAGTGGTCTACATACAAAACAACAGAAGAATTTACTGTATACAGTTACAGTAAAAAAAAAACAAACTATGCTGCATCCTCTCTTCTGTTTCGG